TAACAACCCGTTATCCTATGTTTTAAGAAGTGCTAAACTTGATGCGACTGGTCACAGGTGGCTTGCAACACTTGCAGTTTATGATTTCAGCATTAGGTATCGCCCTGGCAAGGCCAATGGGGATGCGGATGCGTTATCGAGGGTTCCAGGACAGGTGGAAGAGTTGGGACAAGTTCACACAGAACGGATTTCGACAGAATCTGTACAGGCAATTTGTGGGATTGTGGATGCTCGGCCTTATGTTGAGTGTCTCAGCTCTTCAAATGTTGTCATTGACACATTGTGTGTTGTTTCTGGTTCCAGTTTAAGTGATATGACCAAGCGGGACTGGCGGAAAGCACAGTCTGAGGATAGGGTTCTCCAATGGGTTATCAAACAGGTTCGGTCTGGTTCTAAACCAAAGGTGCATAAGATTGTTGGTTCTTTTGAGGAGATTGCTTTCTGTAAGACTTTTGATCACCTTCATTTGATTGACGGAGTGTTGTATAGGAAATGTGAGAAAGATGGAAAACCAATAAACCAACTTGTTCTTCCAGCTTTGTATCGTGAGAAGTCTTTGGAGTATTTGCATAATGACATGGGGCATCTTGGTAGAAATCGCATTTTATCTCTTTTACGGGACAGGTTTGACTGGCCAGGCATGGTAAAGGATGTGTAGGATTGGATTGGTGGTTGTCCCAGGTGTTTGCGTCGAAAAACTCCTACTGGTTCTAAAACATCGCTGGTTAGTACACAGACTACACAGCCATTGGAGTTGGTTTGTTTGGATTTTCTGAGTCTTGAATCATCAAAAGGTGGTTTTCAGCATATTTTGGTCATTACGGACCATTTCACGAAGTATGCACAGGCCGTGCCGACGCGAAATATGACAAGAAAAACAACAGCTGAAGCTCTTTTCAATCAGTTCATTGTGCATTATGGCATTCCAGCCCGTATCCATAGCGACCAAGGAGCGAATTTTGAGAGCAAGATCATTCAGGAATTGTGTTCTCTCACAGGTATGAACAAATCCCATACCACACCGTATCACCCCATGGGTAATGGTCTCACTGAACGTTTCAATCGCACTTTGTTGGATATGCTGGGTACCTTGCAACCATCTCAAAAGTCTGATTGGAAATCTCATGTAAATCCACTCGTTCATGCATACATTTGCACACGTCATGAAACTAAGGTTATTCTCCGCATTTTCTAATGTTTGGTCACCATCCTCGTTTGCCAATAGATTTAGCGTTCGGATTGGAAACTGGTGATAAACAGTGTTCGTTGTCAAAGTATGTTGAATCTTTGAGAGGTCGTTTAAAGGAATCTTATGAGTTAGCGTCTAGTTCAACAACGAAAGATCAGGAGCGTCAGAAGCGAAATTATGATGAAAAAGCTCGGTTAGCCACTCTTCATGTTGGAGATAGGGTTTTGGTTCGTGCTCTTGCCTTTGAGGGTAAACATAAGATCTCTGATAAGTGGGAACAACAGGTGTATGTGGTGCTTGATCAACCTAATGTTGGAATTCCAGTATTTCGGATGCAACGGGAGGATGGAGTTAGGGAAAGATGTCTTCACAGGAATCACCTGCTACCCATAGGGTTTCTTCCGTGCTCAGAGGAAAAGGTTGCACCAGTTCCAAAGCCAAGAACACGAACTTCGTTGCCACAGCATGCTCCTGAAGGGTTCATGAGGTGTCTGTTGAGGATGTAATTGATGAAGTTGTCGATGAGGTAGATGAGGTTGTTTCTGATGAGGTTGGTTCTGATGATGAGGTGGTGGTAACAATGGACCCTCCGTGTGTTGTATTACCTACTTTAGAGGATATCATAGATATTAGAACCAGTGATGCTGAATCAGCAACATCCGAGTCCACAATGACAGATGATTCCTCTGCTCAGGAGGTTCAGGCAGAGCAGTTGCCTCGTCGTTCTGGTAGAATACGACGTCAACCAGATTGGTTAACATCAGGTCAGTTTATTTCGCAAAGTGCTTCAACGCCACAATGGCTTGAAAAAGCAATTGTTCTGTGTGATTTAGCACAATCTGATTCTTTCAAACTGTTCCTTCTGAGGTCAAACAAACAATCTTGTCTGTAATAAAAGATTGATGGAAATGACGAGGACGTCATTTTCCCCTGGGGAGGAAGTGTGTAACAAGTACAAAACAAGTGTGTCACAAATACAAGTATGTAACAAGTACAAAATATACAAACAGTAAAATATTCTGGAAAAGCAATCTATTTTAATATGTCTTGTCTTATGTTCCTGTTTGGAATCAATTAATAACACCTTAAACAATAATACAATTGTCAGTGAAAAGGTTTACATTTTCACAAGTCCATGATTTATTTATAGTCACCACTGGGTCATGGGTCAAAAGTAGTTCCTATGCAAATTAGCCAAGTCTTAATGAGGTCAGGTCTGCTGTCTTGTCCTTGGTTTTTATTGGTGGAAGATGTGCAGCATCTTGATTGGATGTTGAATTTAGTTGCATTTGGAAAGTGTGAAGTTTGTTCACTTGCTGTCTTTCTCCCAACCTGGCAAGGTGGTTTGAAAGTCATGGGTGGTGGACTGTGACTTTGGTGAATTACAGGTTAGTTACATTTGGTTTTATGTAAAAGGAATAACCTATAAAAATATGTTTAATTGTTGAAAGGTTAATTCAGTATTTATTGTAACTGAATTTATGCATTTGGTGGAGGTATATTTTGACCTATGGTTAGAAATTGTTGGTGTCAATAATTTCACTTACAATTGATTCAGATTAATGTTTGAGTCCAAACAGTTTGTACGTTTACTTTGCTGGTGAGAATTAGCATTTCCATTCTAATTAAAACATACATATTTTAGGTTCTTGGTGTTTTTTTGGTGCCTCACAGCATGTGGCCAGTTTGAAGCAAGTTGTCCCATAGGTGGTAAGACACGTTGAAGTTTCACTGTTTTGAAGATGCCCAATGTGTTCCATAAATCATAAGGATCTTAATATGAAACTGAACCATTAATTTTGTGATGTCAATTTGTTTTGAGTTATTTTTATATGTTCAGTGGTAGAGCTGTGATTGTTAATTATCTGAACAATGTGCAATGAAAAGAATGAATGTGATAAAATAGGTATTTTGATGGAATGTTATATATTCATATACATTGTTTCAGACTTGTATTATTATATACAAACTACAGTAATAAAAAGGAACTTGCAGCCTCAACGGAGTTGTGTCGTTGTGAAAGAGCCATCCCCGTTACATAAGTTTCATACATTCATATTTTGAAAACAATTTCAAAACATCCAGAACTTTTCTCAACCAGTGGTAATCTGTCCAGATAATGTATTTGCTTGCTGGTTTTCGAACAACTCCAGTGTGCTGTGAACACACCTAATACCAGTATATAGGTCATCTAACTGCCCACAAACAACACAGACTGCTAATTGTTTGCATGCGTATTGTAGTTTATTGTTTCTTGTTGACTATGCGTTGATTACAAACTTATATAGGAAAATGCTGTTCTTTTAACTGTAGCCGTACTTTTATAGGGACTTTCTATTACCGTCAGGTGGCAATTCAAAATACATGCACCTGATTTCACATTGCTGTACAACGGTTATGCCTGAATGAGTGAGTTTGTTTGACGCCGCCTTTAGCAATATTCCAGCAATATCATGACAAGAAACACCAGAAATGGGCTTCATGCATTGTACCCATGTGGGAAGTCGAACTCAGGCCTTCGGCGTGACGAGGAACGCCTTTACCCCTTGGCTACCCCACCGTCCCTCAAAGTTAATGAAAATAGGAAATACAGGTATACATACACACATACACACTGTGCATTTATCTGTGTATTTATTAATATTTATTATCTCTCTATGCGTGTGTGTGTGTGTGTCTCGCTGAAAGCGGAATGGGTTTTCTCACGGACACGTGCGTCACAGCATTAAGCGTATTATAAACCTACTCAGAGATGTGGAGTAATGAAGTTCCTGGTGTTCAGCAGTTACCTTACGTACACTAGAAGGAATGATCATCTCCTTAACTTACGTTGAAATAATAACGGCTTCGTCACACTGTATAACCTTAGTTTAGATTATTGTTTTCCAGACAGAAATGGCCAATCTCAGTAGTGTTATTTTGTTATCAATACACAATATAAATAACTTCGGTTTTTCCAGCCGTAACTATATTTGAAAGGGACTTTCCGAAAATATTATCGTTATTCAAACAGCGTGAGTATAACGCAACTGCTATAATTATAACGGTTTACAGTCGATAATCAACATACATTGCAGTTCCGCTCAATGACTTGCCATCATTCTGCATACCAATTATGCTCGCTTCGATCGTATCATGTGCATATCTAAAATCAATGTATGAACGCCCGATGGGTCAAAATAATGATAATAAATAATAATATTATTGAACATTTATATTGTGCTAAATCTAACCACTAACAGTCATACAATCATAATTATGATATGAGTCTAATAGGCTAACAAACGGTTGAAAAACATAACTGTTGTGACACTTTCTCCTATATATATACTTGTGTATTTGGTATTTATGTGTATAGACCAATTCATACAAGTTGTTGTGTTTTGATATGCACATTTCTGATTTGTTTACCCCTTTTGTTATGTCTGTTGATAACGCGACCAATACAAATGTATAAATAGAGCCGGGTTTCCCGAAATTAGCTATTTTTGAAAGGGACTTTACCTAAATTTCTACTCAAGGTTCAAAATGCCCTTTTGTAAAGTAACTCATTTTACCGTTTGAATTCATTGAAATGGAGACAAGTGCATGTGGATATCATGCATGGACTGTTTATCTACAGCCATAACTATATACAGCCATTGTATTGTCGTAATACTAACCTGTGCAAGTCCACATAGAGTACGAACAATAGCAACCTGTGACACACTTTCTGGAAATATCAAACTACCGCGTCCAGTCAAATAACACATAAAACTGACAAAACCTTTCAAATTGTCATGATCACAAATATCTCTGAGAAAAGACAAACCTCACTTGATCCTTTCTGGAATGTAATCTGCGAGAAAAACAAACCCGACTGCCTTCCGTAAGGATCACCGCTCTCGAACTGCAGTAACAGCCAATCAAAAGATACTTTACATAATGCATAAAGGGGAACAACTGACCAAGCCTTCTTTGTGCCTGTAGTGTTATCAACTTTATATTGTCCGACTATTCTCCTTGCTTATGCAGAGAAATTCGGCGACGCACGAATGACTGATACAGAAAAAAAACGTTAATTCGGACGCCGACACTTGCCTTTTCGTTTGTTCGTGACAGGCGCAGACGATGGGGCACCTTTATTTGATGCAACATTATTTGATTACAAATCATATTCACATGCTGCTAATATAGATGGTGCTGTACAATAATATATCCTTGTAGTAGAGACTTTTAGATAATAGATTTGATGAAGTTTGTGAAGCTGCTGAAGTTGATATTCATGAATATTTTAAGGCCAGTAAACGGTATAAACGAAATTCTGGTACTATTAACAAACTAGTATATGATGGTAATTCAGGCTCAGATGCTGAAAGCATATACAATATTTTTGGTGAATATTTCAAGCATCTCTCGATTCCCCACTTAGACAGTGCCTTTGATAGTGCTTTTTCAGATGAGTGCGAAAAGTATGTTTCTGAAACTGAAGCCAAACAATCTGAAGGAGATGATACTACCTCCCCCTTATCATGTGATATTACATTTAGAGAGGTTCTAAATGCAGTGAAAGGGTTAAAAAACATCAAAGCCCCGGGCCCAGATTGTCTGAGAAATGAACATATAAAACACGCAGGGAGATCATTAATCACTCATATTGTCGCCCAGTTTAATGCCATCATCAGATATGAGTACGTGCCACTGATGTATAATCTTGGCGAAATTCTCCCAATACACAAAGGTAAAGGCAAAAGCAAAATTGATCCATCTAATTATCGTGGCATAACGTTAACATCTACCCTGAGTAAGCTCTTAGAACGTCTGCTCCTAGATAGAATTGAGAAATGGACAGATAATAACACTTCCTTCCCCCAACCTTTCCAGTTTGGCTTCAGAAAACACGCAGGAGCTGAGATGGCAGCGCTTACACTTACTGAAACCATTGCATATTACACTGAAGAGAACTCACCAGTATACTGTGCTTTTCTTGACAATGAGAAAGCGTTTGATCGTGTGTGGCTTGATGGTCTATTTTATAAATTAGACAAACTTGGTATATCTGGTAAAATGTGGAGACTCCTTCGTTTATCTTATATGTCTATGCACTCTTATGTTGGTTTTGCAGGGTCCACATCGAACCAATTTCATGTTAAACAAGGTGTCGGGCAAGGCCGTGTTATATCAGCGTGGCTTTTTTCACTGTACATAAATGATTTATTATATGATCTTAATAGAACAAGTTGTGGATTATGCCTCCCATGGGGAAAATGTCCCGGCTTATTGTGAGCTGATGACACAACCCTTACCAGCTCCAACCCCAAGGGATTACAATGTTTGTTAGGCGTAACTGAATGTTATGCAAACAAATGGAAGCTGAAATATAATGTAAGTAAGAGTGCTGTATTGATTATATCCTATTACTGCAATTCGTATATGGGACAGAGTTATACTGCCATGCTGCCTATATGGATGCAGTGTATGGGGAAAGCTATCTAATAAAGAATATGATATGTTGGAAACCACAGAGCGTTATTTCTGTAAAAGAATACAGGGTTTTGATAGGTATATGCCTAATGAAGTTGTTGTGGGTAACCTTGGTATTTTATCATTACAAGCTTATATAGATCAACGCTCTCTGTTGCTACTTGGCAGATTATATAACAGCAGTATTAAGTTTTCTTTTAAACAGTTGTTTTTACATAGAATCTCGCAATATGACAATGAAATTATGAATGGCAGAAAGCATAAACGAGATATGCAATCTCCTATATTTCATATGTAGGAATTATTAGCTAAATATGGTATCCAGGAAGAAATTAAACAATATGTAGTGTGTTCTAAATTTTTATGTAAAAGGAAATGGTCAAGAATGGTACGGGAAAAGGTCTTACAATGTGATAGAAAAGCAGCAGAGTATGCCATGCAGTCAAGGCTGTCACTGATACGGTATCAGTCAATAAGATCGGACGGTGTAAATCGACTATGGCAACTGGCGCTTGACAGACCAAGGTACTATAAACGTATTGGTTTTCTTATTAAACTGGGTTCTGTTCCCATTCAGTCAAAGGAATGTGAGTGTGGCACTGTGGCGCACGATATTTTAAAGCACGTTTTTATGTCATATAAGATTAATATTGCTGAAAGAAATGTCTTATTTGAACAAATTTGTGACTTACTTGATGTTAATATCTTTGTAAAATTATGGACCTACGATGATGATGATGAATTCCTGAAATTTCTACTTGGCGGAATACCGGAAGATGTAAAGGACCAGCTAAACTATGATGTGTGGGCAAATGTTATAATATGTGTCTCAAATTCTGTATGTAAATGGAAAATATTTTTATAACTGTTGTATTTCACCTTACCATCCTGTATAAATTATTTCATGAGCATTTCTGTTGTATCATGTGCCAGTAATATGACTGTATAATATACATATACATTTGTAATCTTCAAACTATGGAGGAAATAAAGAATATCTATCTATCAATCTATCATCTCGTCACTTTGAAAGCTTAGTAATCAAATATATGTAAAACCAATATCCTCTTTATGATGAACATTTCTTATAGATTAACACTCACGTTTTCTTTCTTCTATAAAACATTAACCTTGAGTGGCATACGCATTTTATTGATATATTTGAATAACGTACATTCTTGTACATATATAATGCTTAAGCACCGCATTATATTACAATTTTGTCTCATTACTTTGAACTTCAGGTTGTAAAATGACACAATTGCCAAAATCTATGACGAATATATTTTCCACATACATACATACATACACACACACACACAGACAGACAGACAGACAGACAGACAGACAGACATAGGCCTGTGTGGTAAACTCTTTCAAGGGTTCTTTTTGTGCAACATAAGATAATCCGAACGAACGTTGCATGTTCTTAAATTTCTCCATCTAAACTTATTCGGAAACATCATCTATTGACATAGAGGTGTTTTTCCCCCGTAATGTATTTAAATGTGTAAGACATAAAAACTAACAATATCCCTAATGCACAATTGCTATCTTTATAACATGTTTACAATTCTACATTCATTTACATAATCATCAATCCAACTAGGGTGCATGCGGGAAGCAAATGTACTGTTAGTCCCCATGGTCCCTAATAGGGTGATCTACCTTCAGTTGTTGGCAATGTATAGCCTGTTTTTTTTATTGTATTGTCATGTATAGTTAAACTATTTTATATTTAATTGCTAGTTTTAAATTTACATCTGTGATAATCTAGTTGTTTTACTGTCCTTCGTTGACAGAATTTTATAATTTACCTTGATTTAGTCACGATAAGGCTGAAATACTGCCGATGTGACTTAAAATCATAACTCACATAATCATCAAATATACACAATAACAGTTTGGATCTGCGTTGACATATCTAACACACCAGATCACGCAACTTGACTGATTAGTCAAGGAGCTTATGGGATTCCGTGAAAGTTTTTTGATGAAAGCAAATCATATATTCTTTTGAGTTCATATGTTAAAGGAGTTTAAAAAAATGTTTGGTTCCAATCTGAATATTGATGCGAAAGCTTTTTTTAGTTCAAAATCCAAGATGGCCGCCAAAATTTAACCGGGAACTGAAAAAGTTGCAAAAACTCGGAACAAAACAATGGTTTTAATATCAAATACCATGCATATTTGGTTACGGAATATATTTCTCATAAGCTGTAAGTCACCAGATCTTTTTAGTTTGATTTTAGTCTGAAATTTACATTAAAGAGTCATTTTTAGCTCTACAAGTTATAATTAGGAGATAAACCTAGTGTGTTTGAAAATCAGAGACATGCTTTACTGAATTGATGGCGACTAAATTTCAATTGGAACCGAACGCGTAGCGTGAGGTTTCAATTGATATATTTAGTCGCCATCAATTCAGTAAAGTATCTCCATTCTACCATGAACCATTTAAAATCGAACTTCCTCGCTCTGCGGAAGACACTGCGTAATCCGGCATGGGTCGAGAGGCGAATTGAACTCGTCTGTGAAGGGGCGGTAGGTGCCGTTCGTATTTTTTTAACATTACAACATAACAATATTCTGACCAAAGAAATCAAACTACTGTTTATTCAATGCAATTATGTAATACCCTAGACCTTGGGGTTTTTTTCATCCCAACTCCACACGACTAAAACCAGCCTATTGTTTTGTGTGCCGTGAAACTGTACCCCCCTGGCCACACTATAATGGAATCGTCTGACCTACTTATTTTCTTCGAAGTAGACAGTTACGCAACAGTTTGAAATGGCGGACGAGCCAGTGTTTACATTTTGCTAAAGGTTGAAATTTGAAGTGACAGTGGGCAATACTTGACTGACTGTCGAATCTGAACCCTGCAGAATCGAAGAATAGATCCTTTCCTGATCAACCTACGACCTGTAACTCATCAAAGACTGTTGATTTTTATGACCGGTCGATCATGATTTCACGAACTGCCTCCACCCCGGCATGCGACAAAAGGGTGACAGTGCTGCTGCTGAGTGTACATGCGACTAACTTGTGATTCCTTGGAACTTTGTTTTCATCGTTTGGGACTGGACTGTGTCCAAGCGTTTTTCAAAGTAGATGAACATAACAGTGACAACCTTGCGCAGAAGCTGGCAGAGAGCAGAATTATTTTGTGAACGATGCAACGGGATATGATGGAGTATGACTATGAGTGGCATAAATGTGGTGTTTCGCCAGACCGTTAGATCTATCTTGCAAATTTCCCATTCTAAAAGGAATTAAATATACCATTTACCAGGTAGGTAAATGTATACTAATGTTTTGCTGCATATTTTGTATAGATAGGGATGTATTTTTACGAGGCTTTCTGATTTATATGTTAGATATTGTTTTGTTTATGTTTGGGGCTGTGTATTGTAACTGAGTTTGAATAT